GGTCAAATCGCCGAGTCCGCTAGTCATAAGGCAGAAATGCTTAACAACCAATTTTGTTCAGTATTTACGAAAGAATCTTTGGACAATCTACCAAATAAAGGATCTTCGCCTTACCGCTCGATGCCCAAGATAAACGTTACATTAAATGGCGTTGTTAAGTGTATTAACAGACTTAATCCCAAGAAAGCTTCTGGGCCAGATAAAATACCTATCATAGTCTTAAAAGAATGTGTAACTGAAATAGCACCAATTATACGGTCTTTATTCCAACAGTCAATTGATAAATCTGAAGTACCATTGGACTGGAAAAACGCTAACATTGTACCAATTTTCAAAAAAGGCGACAGAACCAAACCATCGAACTACCGCCCTGTAAGCTTAACCGCAGTTGTTTCTAAAATGATTGAACATATAATAGTTTCGCAAGTAATGAACCATTTAGACAGCCAGAACATTCTTCATGAAAACCAACATGGGTTCAGGGCTAAACGCTCATGTGAATCTCAACTTCTATTAACTACAGATGACATTGCTCGTAGTGTTAATCTTGGTCACCAGGTTGATATGGCGGTGCTTGACTTTTCTAAGGCTTTCGATAAAGTGTCACATCAGCGTCTCTCTGTGAAAATGCAATATTATGGTATATGTAATGAAACCAACTTATGGATTAATGAATTCCTTAACGGTCGTTATCAACGAGTAGTAGTAGACGGAGAATCATCAAGACCGTCACTGGTAACATCTGGCGTGCCCCAGGGAACTGTGCTTGGTCCTGCATTGTTTTTACTATATATTAACGACATCGCCTCGGATTGTTTGTTTGTTTGTTTGTGTCATTTTACGCCTTTTTCCAACAGTATTTCAGTCATATAGGCGGGTAGTTTCCTAACCATCGTTCCTGGAGAGTTACACCAGTATTTGACGACCTTCCTCCGCGCTAAACTACCAAAGCATCTCCCGGGGATCGAACCCACGCCAGAGAGGTAACTGGATTAGAAGTCATCGACTCTAACCACTCGACCACGGAGGCCTCGCATATTAAGTCATCAATTCGCCTATTTGCTGACGATTGTGTCATTTATAGACCCATACTCACCAGTGAAGATCATAATATTTTACAAAAAGACCTGGACACCTTAGTTGATTGGAGTAATACCTGGTGTTATGTTGTATGGATGATAACAAGATTCAAACTATTCTACTATTTTATTATAACCATTTAATACATGTTGTTAAGACCAGAGCTCAAGTGAGAATGACCAGGTATCAGAGAGGCATGATCATATATATAACATAGCATTAATGAATATCAAGTAAAGGGAAGTAATCCCATTAACTATACAGCTAAACATGTAAAGAGTTATCTAATCTTGATATCATAACACCTGGCAAATGGAATTTAACGTCGATAAATGTGCAACCATGTCAATAACAAATAAACGTAACAAATCTGTATTTGACTACAAAATGAAAAATCAATCACTACATGTTGTTAAAAACCACCCATATCTGGGAGTTGAACTAGCAGATACTATGAAATACAACCTTACACATCGATTCAATCACAGCAAAAGCTTCTAGTACTCTTGGTTTCATCAAACGGAACTTAAAACATTGCCCGACCACAGTAAAGGAAAGAGCTTATCAAACTTTGGTTCGACCTAAACTGGAATATGCGTCACCAATTTGGAATCCCCAACAACTTAATACATCGAAGAAACTTGAACAAATACAACGGAACGCGGCAAGATTCGTCATGAATAAACCATTCAATCGTAACAATCCATCTAGCGTAACATCAATGCTACACGACCTAAAATGGCCAACACTTGAACAACGTCGTCAGTGTGCGGACTTAATTCTTATGTATAAAGTGTTTAATAACCTAGTGGCTGTACCAGTTGAATACCACCCACAACTATCTACAAGATACACAAACTCGGTAAAGTTCGTCACTTATCACTGCAGACTTAATGCGTACAAACATTCATTCTTTCCAAGAACTGTACCTTATTGGAATAACTTACCAACTAACATCACAACTGTGGACAATCTGGACAGTTTTAAAACTGCTGTCCAGTCATACGTATATGTGTAAATTATTAAAATCGTGTATAGTGTACAAACATGTTGGATTTTACTTCACACTACGTTTTCACATTATTTTAACTCGAACGCCTGGTGCCGCACATGGGGGACAGGTGTTTAGCCCACGTTTTTAATGGAGCACATTTCACATCACCACTCGTCGCTGATGTCTGCACAGCGGATTTACAGACGAGATCAACATAGAAGTAGAAGTAGAAGACACTTCACCCCCCAGACACTTCATCCCTCAAATTTTGAAGACACTTCACTCCTTAAGACACTTCACCCCCCAAAATCAGTAAGACACTTCACCCCTCATCCAATTTTTTCTATAAAGTAAATAAGTCAAGTTAGTCAACAACATAATGCTTATAATTTTATATGTTTATATTAATTATTTTTAGTATTATTTGATAAAATATTTTGCTTAATACCTTTATTTTTACTAAGTTTATAAAGCTAATTTAGGTTAATTGGTTGTATTGCCAAATGATATATACAATGCACTTTCATCCATTAAGTGTTTATTGCATGTCACCTTGTTTATTCAACATTTTGATTGGTTGTTTGTTTATTCAACAGTTATCTCATAATTGATTAGATAATTGAATTAAAATGGTATTATTGTATGAAAATTAAATTTATTTATAATATTGAATAAATAAATAAATTAATAAAATGAATATTAATGAATATAAATGAATATGAATGAATGAATTGGTTGCTTTATAAAATATAGTAAAAATAAATTATTTATTAACATTATCAGACACAATTATCCTGCATTTCATACAAAGATCATTCATAATGTCATTTGTTAAACAAATAAATAGCACCAGTTATGTAAATTAAGCACTAAGTTAAAGTAGAAATTGTCTCCAAAACTTCAAGAATTAAATCAACTCAAATTTATAAGACAATGGGTTATACTTTAAATTACATGAAAGTCTTTGTACGAGTTTATATATATATATCAAAGGAAAATTCACACAAAGGTTCACACACTTCACTAGAAAGATTTTTCAATTAATTACATGTATATCACTTTTACTTGAATTGGAATTAGTATAAAATATGTAAAATATTTAATTTAATAATACCTTGTATTATTAACTAAATTGTGATATGAGCCTTTTTATAGGTATATCCATTGTCTTTGGTCAGTTACTTGATAAAATAATAATAAAATATGTTAAAACAATAAACATACTCAATCACTAATGAATGCATTTAACATTTTCTACATAAATAATTGTTAAACACAAAATGATAAAATGAGGGGTGAAGTGTCTCAATCAAATTTCTTAAAATGAGGGGTGAACTGTCTGAGGGGTGAAGTGTCTGCAAAAAAGGGCCTAGGGTGAAGTGTCTGGGAGGTGAAGTGTCTGTAAGCCGAATCAACATGGCTGACCTCAATGACCTGTCACGTGATTCAATCGCGCATTGATATTATTTCTGTACACAGCACAAATTTACTGTAATTTTCGATATCATGATACATTTTAAAATGTATGATAACCCTCCTGTAATGAATGAAGGTACGGATTTTCTAACTTGTTACCGACCATACGGAACTATTTACTACGTGCATGTATATATTTCAGCCGAAATTCGTTTGGCAATATGCCTCAGATGTAACTTATAACTTTGGGCCGCTTTGCGCAAGCGCAGCGACCCAAAAATACAGTAGGCAACATATCATTTAAAGTGACATTGTGCTACTTTTATCAAAATGCATATTTCTAAAGACTGACCATTATAATTGTGATCGACCAACAGTTTGATTTGGAAAATGTTAAAGATAAAATATAAAATTGCCTAAAATATGACAAATAGAACTTTACAGGATATTTACAGACATTTCCTTTGGTCTCGTGGTTTATTTATTGTTCGTGCAAAGAAATGATAAAGTTGAAAGGAATCGTGTGGCAAATTATAAACTTATTTTGACGTTCACCTGTTCAATCACTATAATATGTTCTGGAATGAGCAAAAATGTGACCCATTGATCAATTAACGTATTGCGCCGATGATTGTAGTGCTAGTTTGACACACATATTTCAGTCGGATTAGAATCCAGATCTTTATATCTTGTGACGACTATTTCTCCATTCCTGAACAAGTGCTTGCTCGAGTTCCTGTAAATTGTGGGATGATTTGAACAGGCGTGTGAGAAAAGCGACCAGTAGCCCTTCGCAATTTTCTGGAGCCGGGGAAATATTCCCCAAGTCTCCGTGTGAAACTACGTCATTTTCATGAGATATACATTATAGGTGTTTAAATGTTGTTTAAGGGGAGTGGTGGCATTGTGGTCAAGGTGTCTGACTCTCAACTTAGGAATCATGGCTTATAGGATCATGACCATGTTTCTTCATATGACTTCAGTTCTACTTGGTTACAGGAAGCGGACTCGAAAGTGATTAATATAATTGCAAGAACTTATTTGCAATCGAGCTTAAATAGACATGTTTAAACCAGAACACAGATTTAGTGCAATCCAGAGATTATTCATTTTGATACCATTTTAACAGCCATTCTGTGATTTTTTTATTTTACAGTAGCCTATTTGTATTGTTATTTTTTTCTTTTTTATTGTCAATGAATTGTGAATAAAATTAAAATATAAAAACTATAGTAAGTATGATATGTTGAATACTGTATGATCCAAATTTGAACAAAATCCGTCCATAAATAACCAGTTTTATAGATCTACTGAAAAATTAAAGTGTCGCGGTATAAGTGCCTCTGAGTGTATGCTCTCATCCAATACAGATATACTGCCGGCAACATAATCAAGTAAATTAATAATGCAATAAATACCATTACAAATTAGCGGTTTTAAACGAATATTATAAGTAATAATGATATAAATTAATCTTTATAATAAGATATACGTGTATCATTTTAGCTGCAATGACACTCATATAAAATTATAATGTTATATTTTGTAGAAAGATGTTTCAGATGTCTTTGATTGGTTGATTCCTGGAACATTTGGTGTTGGTGGAAGTTTAGAATTTTACATCACGACGCCAGAAGGTGGCACTTGGGAAGGGTAATATTGAATTTTCTTTTACATAATACACGTGCTTTACACGTAACAGTAATTATAAATACATCCGTGTCTACACTGTAAATGTTGGTCTTTTCACGTTTGGATGGATCATGGTATGGAGTTTACGCGGACTCAGTCATGTGGGATTTTGGGTATTAAAATATTCAGTTGGGTTGGGAAAGCTATTTTCGCCGTGATGAAAACCAAGTCAGTCATTTTGTATATATTAATATAGGTTCGCTATCAACTTACTGGATACTACAGATGTTAATTTCAACGTGTATGGGGGAGCCTCTGAGGCCGTTATGTTCCATATAATTGTTGTAAAACAAGATAACGAGCTAATGGTCAAAACATGGGCTCAAGCGTCTGGCTGGACGAACATATTAAGCATGGCAATTCCATTTCCTGAAGGAAGTGTTACCAAGTTTACTGTAGTACCATATACAGACGTCTTGCAAGTAAGATATGTTTCTAATGGTATTAATGTCATTTTTTTACCATATCCATGCATTAATGAGTTTGAAGATATGGTATGCTGAGTGAGCTTATCAGATTAATCCAATCTTAAAATATGTATAAGCCGGATATCCAAGGCGAAATTTGTAGCTATTAACCAATACATATATAAATGAAGAACAGAAACCAAGTACTGGATCTACAGTTATTTTACATAACTACTAAAGTATACTATGTACCGAATATTAAACAGTTTTTCCTAATTGCTATATTAAAGCTTGTTTTTTTTACTTTAGTCATGCAATTCAATGATGATACTGCGCGTAACCGTTACCATTAGCTCTTTCATTGTCATAACCATTATTAAGAAAGCTATTGTTTTCTGCAGAAAGCAGATTTTCTCCAGATTCAATAAACGAACTTAATACTTTAATGAACAATCAAGGAAAAATATTGTAATACATGTAGTTATGAAAAAAAAGTTTAATTAAATATAGATTGACGTGAAAAATTGTCTCTATAATTAATTCTAACGTAATTTCAAATTACTTATAGATAATTACAGAAGGTAAAATTAAGTTATATCAAGTATGATATATCCGCGTAGATGACATATTCGTCTGACGGTATATATAGGCCTAACAATTAATTTGATGTGTCGTAAAGTGTTTGGCTCAGTGTGGAACAATGCAAAGTAAGGGTTGTCTACATCGCCGTTTATGTCAGTTTTAGTTGAACACATGTTTTCATTTCAACCTACTTGGACCTATATTACAATTTTTCATACTTGCTTCTTGGAAAATCATTCATTCAGTTTTACATAACCACAAATAGAGTTAACATATGTAAAAAGTACTCATTTTTTAAACATTTCAATCTTTTCTTGTGACCAAAGTCATGGGTCCAAAGAGCAAAGATCATTGTACATGTTTACTTTGCTAAAGATAATGCATTTCTTTCACATCATTTGTAATCGTCTGTTCCTTCATTTCACTAGTAAGATGATAAAAAGCTGATGGTTAATACTGCAATAACGTACGGATGGAAAATAAGCTTATGACCAAAATAAAATAGGCTAATGGCTAAAAAGAATAGGCTTATGACCAAAACAGAATAGGCTTATGACCAAAAACAGAATAGGCTTATGACCAAAACAGAATAGGCTTATGACCAAAACAGAAAAGGCTTATGACCAAAACAGAATAGGCTTATGACCAAAACAGAATAGGCTTATGACAAGACAGAATCAAAGTGATTAAAACGTAGCGGTAAATTATAATCAATTGATGGAAGTATACAATTATGCAATAGTTATCGTTTATGTTGTTTCTTTTTCAGGTATTGATTGACGATGAACACTTAGTCCAGTACCCACACACTGTCGATCCTACCACTGCAAAATTGATCAACATTAATCCTTTTTCAAACACCTTAATTAAGCTTCACAATATTACCTTTATAGGTATATAGACCAAGATCGACTAATTGAAATTTGTCAAAGCTATTTTTTTCAAATTCTTACATATAATAAATTTCTATAAAAACAGTTCACCTGCCAGCGTTCGTAAGCGTCTAGGTAGACTTCCGCTGTTACCTCTGTGTCTGTGTTTTCCCATCCCCTCTTTTCCATTACTAATGTCCGTGGTCCTTGAACATAAGTCAGTTCACAGCCTGGAAATAGAATTTTATAACGTTTTAAAACACTGTCCAAATATGAATCACGCATATTGTTGATATATAATGAGAGAGACGTAATGATATTAAAAGCTTTCTAAACATATCGGTTTATGTTTGATAAATCAAGCTCAGTGATATAAGGACTATCCTGATGCTTGTGGTAATAATACATGATGACGTCATAAGAGCCTTGACCAATACAAACACGCGCAATTGCATGCGACTTTCTAACGTCATAGAGCATAGACCAAGATAAACACGCGCACTCGACTTGCTGACGTCATAGAGCATAGACCAAGACAAACACGCACACGCGTATAGTATGACCAATCTCTTTACGCAAGACACTCTTACTTTTCAAAGCATTCTAAGTAACCGAAAAAATAGTTCGTGCTAAATGATTTTATATCTTTGCATACTGGGCATTTGTTGTAAAACGAATCAAAGCAGCTGACCATGGCAACATCTAACTTCAGCATTTGCTTTCTGTTAGGTTTTATGCTTTGTTTTGTTGTTTTATTTTTGGAAGGAGGGGGTGATTTTTTTTCATAAAATGTTTAAACACACACATATATATATATGTGTGTGTTTAAATATTCTGCCTTTAATGTTTACCTGGTTGCATAAAAAAAGAAAAAATAATTTTGAGTACAGATTTGCTTAACAGAAAGTAAAACGATGCTTCTATTTTGATAGGAGATTAAATTTGTTATCCAAAAGGCCAGTCAAAATGTTTTATCTGATAATCTGAATATTAATTACACAAAATAAATCATTTTGATTATTGTGAAAATGATACTTTCAATGTTGTCATTTCAACTTTAGATCCAAAGTTATTGGCTTCTTTGGTGCATCTTTCACTTTGGTTATGTGCTGGAAGTCCAGGTTCACATTGTGAACACGTCTTTTTACAGCCACACCCTCCACAACAACCACAACCTTCAATAGTTAACTATCAGCGGCAATGAATGAAGGTAGTATAAAATTTCCTAGTACTAACTAGCAGCAATCAAAATTTCCAACTGAGATAGTTTGTTCGTTTAGTTAGGTTTTATTTAAACATAACTTTAAACGACACTGCTAAGTTCATATTGTGACTTTACAGCTTTGATGAAAGAAGTCTTCAACTTTCAAACCAGCTTCCTGTCATGGAAAATGCAACGTTACTCATGACATTCGAACAAACAACAATGAGGGACAAATGATTTGAATTAAGCAACCTTTACAACTCTGATAATAATGGAGGTCAATTCCGTCGGGATAGAGCTCATTGTTGTTTGTTCGAATGCCATGATGCATATCATTTTCTATATTTAGACTTAGTTTGTGGATTAGAATTAAAGATATATAATGCTCAAATTTGATGTTTAAGAGAACTGATAATTTTTGATCTGTAAAATAAATATACAGAGAAACCATGTTAAGTTTTAAACTGTACACACTACAGGTAATCACAGTATGAGAACATATATAGTGTCATTAAAAAAACTGGCAGTTTTTATAAGAACAGACCAGTAATAGAGAATGCAGGTTCCCAGATATATTTTATACACTCACTTATTCAAATTCAGGAGGAATTTACTAAATTTCAATAAATTTCTACAGAAAAAGTATCTTACCCAAAGAGAGCGTAGTTTATCTTTAAATAAAGCCATTTTGTATCGAACAATCTTGGTTATCATTTACTTACATCATTACTTTTATTACACGGTGTTTTTGGTTTGTTGTTGTTGTTTTTTTTTTGTTTTTTTTTTTTTTTTTGGGGGGGGGGTTCTTGTTGTGTTTTTTTGTTATTGTTGTTTTTTTTTTTGGGAGGGGGGGGGGGGACTTCAATGCTTTCACAAACACCAGACACATTACACACTTGGGAACCGCTGAAACAGTCGTTTGCACCAGTATCATAAAATACTTATACATGTATATCATTTTTCAGACTATTTTATTGTTTCTGATACTGATTTAACCAATTCCACTTGTACATTTCGGAATAAATAAATCTATATAAAAACAATACCTATGCATATTTTAGAATTACATAATCTCCATAGTCAGCTTTCAATATGATGAGTGTTTAAGTGTTTATAACATATTTAAACAACATACACATACAGTTGAGTTCCTCTGGAGGAGAAGTTGACAGACATCAGGCCAGTGATGGTTGGCGACACATTGCTGAATAAAACAATCATTTTTTACAATTAGCTTTGATTAGTTAAAGGTTTCCAATGGTTTTCAATGGTTGATACCTGGGACGTTTAGTGTTGGAGGACGGTTAGATATTTATATAGCTGTCCCGACAGGCAACGACTTGCAATGGTAATGTGTTTGTCTTTACTTTATAAATACAGCAAGTTCATATTATACTGGGCTCCTCTTAGTTCACGGTACTTAACGCTTTGAAACAAGAAAGAAAACAACAAATGAATCTAATGGTACAAAAATTGTCATAAGCTGTAACATATAGGTATTTTCTGCTGTATGACACAAGGAAACAAGAATATATTCTGTCAAAATTAGTTTTAATGGGCCAGACGTAGACCATATGTCGGCTATTTTGAATACAGTGTGTTATCATTAAAATCGCGGTAAATGGTGTTACACTTCAGTTTTTCATGTTCCATCTAAAATTTCTACATGTTATTTTGCTTATTTTTAAAAATTAAAACTTTTTTTACTTAGTTACTTAAAAATTATTTTTTCAACAGATAAAAACACTTAGAAAAATATGATTATTTCAGACATATGCACAAATTTTATGGACAATTGTTGCTTTTTGCAGAAATTTGTAAAATATTGTTCTGTTTTCGCAAAATTCAAGAGATTTTAAATATTTTGCACAAAATCTTTGTTGTTTATGTGTGTGAATAAAATATTTCATTTCTGACCAATTTTAGTACTGGTCACATAAAAATATGCCATTACCGTGAAATAAGTGATGACGCGGAATTAGTGATATTAAGTATAGTTACGTAGTATTTATGTTTTAATGCACCTCAGGTCCACATGATGATATTAATGGGGATTGTTCATGTTCCGATATGTCATTGAAACATGGCAATTACATTTAGTTTGGTGATATTAAAATCCGGGCAGATACATGCATTTTTATTCAAATGAAGTACTATAAAAATATCTGGTGTGGGTCAATTTCAAGCAAACGGATACATACATGTATAAGAATTGAAGTTATCGATCAGTGGCAGATTTGCCACTTCTTTATCTTTATGAAAAAGAATTTTGTATACAAACTTCATTCTTGAATAATAGTCAATAACTTATATATCTCAGCAAATATAAAAAAAATATATATACATATTTAAATAAACTTTTTTTACAACAAAATCAATATTATAGTTTTGTTATACCTTGATACAATTATCACTATTACATTTCTTCACAGTATTGAAATTAACGTCGCGAATACAACGGAGTACGGATCCGATGTTAATGATAACCAGCCCGAGACCATCATGCTTCACATTACAACAAATTATAATTCACTGACAGTCAAAACATATAGAGATTATACCTGGAACAACAAACATTCCATGCCAAATCCGTTTGTGGGAGGAATAGCTCATAAGATTTCAATTGTTCCAAGAGAGACCGCAATGGAGGTGAGGAATAATAATCATTCCTTCCCAGCAAACATTACATATAGGTCCGATGTCGGCCCGATATCATCTTCAATGTCGGCCCGATATCGGCATCCGAAGTCGGCTCGACATCGGATGTGCAACCCGGCTCAAAGTCGGGCCGATATAGGATGCCGATATCGGGTACCGACTTACAGCCGATTTTTTACCTTCATTCATAATAAGCTTTTTATTTCTTACAGCATATTGGTTTGCTTTCCTTAACATATAACAGAACATATATTTATTTTGCAATACCCTTTATTACATCAGCAAAATTAAAAATTCATATACATAATATATTTTATAATTTACACATACATATTTCAATGTTTAAAACCATGTATTTTTACCTTACGAATTTTTTCTTGCTAACACACATAAAAGTTTAAACATTAATCTTTACATGTTTCCTATATAGATCAGTCAAAATTTAACTGTTTTAACAAAAATACTTAAGTCATGTGACTGGCAAATACAACCTTGCTATATTCATACTACTTTTTGTTAAGATAAAATAAGCTCAATGGCTTGTGTCTTTGCTTTTTTATATCCTGTAGTCTTAAAATATGTCTAGAGAGTGTCAAGCTGTTATCTCTTATATATTTAGTAACTGTATTTTAGATTTTGCACATTGATTCATACTCCAGTTACGGTATTTCGAGTTTAAGTAAAACTTTAAAAGAATAGCTGACTTTTTTTACATTATCATGTTGAATAGTTAAACAGCATTTTGTAATTTGTACATGAGTTAATAATGTCAAGTGTCAATTGTGGTTCCTCCAGGAGTCCCAATATATATGAACTTCTTCAATTGTTTAGTTTTCTACAGTTCTTTATTGCCACCATAACTTGATCATTTGCAAGATGAGCTATTTCCTGCTATTGAATTTCAGCTCGATGACTGTTGCCCTCTTTTTCATCACTCATTCTGAAGCAAAAATTGAGAAGAAACCTTATAAGTATATGTGTGTGTGTATAGATACAAGTTACAAGCTACAAATATTGTCTTGATCTATATATATAAAAAGAATATATATTAATTAAACAGTTTTTTTAAACATTTATGTTAATAAATCAGTAAAAAAAAACAATGAAACTTTACATAATAACTCTAAAAGCTCAAGCTGAATAATTATTTTTTCGTTATCATAGAATTTTTTTGTCTACTTACTCATTCTAAGTGTTGCCTAGGACTCTGTATTGCATCAATTGGTCATCTTTAGCTTCTAAAATGACATTTTCTTTCTCCAAAACCAGCTATTTCAGTTGTCAGCACTCTGATTCAGATATGTTTGTCATGTCACAGACAGATGATTTACCTGCAATGAATCATTCATGTTTCAAACATTATACTATAAGAAAATATATCAACATAATAATATATTCACATTTTTATTACTAAAGGACTATGTTAAGAAAAGTGTCCTTTCAAAAGGCAAGCAGGCACTATCCATTTCTTTTAAAGTAATCAACATTTCATTATTTCTGATTAAAACTTTCATTTGACATCTCTATCATAATTATAACTTTAAATAAAAATAAATAGAAAATTATAATTTGATGTTTATTCTCTCTCAGCCGCTAAATTTCAGGCAACAATTTAAAAACAGTCGCGAAAATATATTACAAAATAATTTTCGGCGAGATAATTATGAAATTCCCAAACCTACGTTCAAAATATCAATGACGCCGAATACTACAACAATGAATTTATTCAAAATCATAAGTAATTTATAAATTTACCAGTAGTATTTGAGAAAAAATCCACTTTTCTTAGTTTTGGCGCAAACTCCTTCTGATGCCAGGTGTGCTAGAAAAATACCACGTTGTGCAAATCACTTATACACTAAATCGGCAACAGACATGGAGCCGATATAGCACCGAAGTATTTTTCATGAAAACGACTAAATTACTCTTTACAAAAGCATCGATTTCTTGCTGAAATGAATTTGAGAAGAATATGCTAAAAAACTCATTTAATTGAATAACAGGAAATAAATGTATATTGGACCTATATCGGACCGATATCATCCTGTCTTTAACAAGTTTGTCTATATCGGATATATATCGGTTCGATGGCGGAAAGCCGACTTCGATATTCCGACATTTAGCCGATATCGGCCCGATATAGGTATGTTTGCTGGGTTATAGTCATAGAATATTCTAAATACACACATAAACGTACACATGTAAATATCAACATTATGAAATCATAAGAATAATAATAAACTGTAAGGATTCTATAAACGTTATCATTAAAGTTCAAACAATAAGCGTAATGGTAGGAAATCTTCGTAAAGAAACCTTTTGTTTTCAAATTCGAAATTCGTCATATTCTTTAAAGACCTTTTTTATATTTGGGAGCTTCTTTTCTGTGAGAACTCAAGAACTCAACACCATAAAGGAAGAATTTGACAGGTAGAAGTTTACACATGCTTTATTATAACTATCAATATGTCTATAAATTCAATCATGTAGGTGGAAATATTTTCTTCATACTAGTAACTCAGAAACATTTATGATGTGTTCATGTATTATAGATACTTATGGGAAAACAAATAATTCAGAGTCAAACACTCTTTTGATAAAGCATACATATATTAAGTAACAACAACAACGTTTGTCTATCTTTTTCTGTATATTGTAATATTGATTGATATATTTCAGGTACTGTTTGATGATGAATTGGCTGTTCAGTATGAACATCTTGCTAACCCAAATACTGCAAAACAACTTGTGCTCTGGTCATATGGAAATACAATCATTGACGTTTATAATATAACTTACATAACCAATTAATTTTACAGCGTGTATATCATACGCAATATATTTGTATAGTATATGAACCTATACTGAGTGAACTCTTTAGACATTACCAAGTATTGGAAAAAGTATGTTGAAACTGTTTCGTCACAAACACGCTAAACGTTTTTTTTTTCATTACATGGCCTCTTCAATTTAAAAATCTTCTTTCAGTAAGTCTTTTCCTACTAAAAATTACTTTCATTACTTGCAACAAATAGATTAAAAATTCAATTTCATGATTCTTATTTTTTATTCTTTTGTTGTTGTTGTTTTTTGTTTTTTTTTGATAATTGGCTTACGCTAGAAAGTCATTTAGCAGTAATACAGATTTCAGTCTTCTGTTTGTTGGTAGTGGTGGTGGTGGTGGTGGTGGTGGTGGTGTCGGTGTGGAGGTTATAGTGACTGTTAATCCGTCGGTAATCTTAATTTAGCGCGGCAGTGAGATTACTTTGTTCAAACGGGACGGGATCGAAAGAAGAGAAAATGATGTCTGTTAACTTTCTAAAATTGGAAATGGAAATGAAACTTCGGCAATGAAACTCGAGCAAATATAAATTAAAATGACAATAATCTGAAGGTATTTGTCTGTATTCACTGTATTACTGTTATTTATTTTATTTTATTTATTTCTAAATCTATATTCTTCGGTGAACATTCAATTTATTATTCTTATAAAACTTTTTAATCTTTTTAGAAATAAAATCGTCTTTGGATTTGAATAAAGCAATCATTTTGATGTTGTTGTTTATTTTTCAGTTTAAATTTGTCATTTTTTTAGGTCATACACTGATCAATGTACCGTTCTTGTCCCCATGATAAGTAAACTATCTATATGTATTTCTATCTTCCCTTTTTATTTCATTTGTTTGAAATTATTTTACTCTGCATGTAACATGTAAGAGATAAAGTAAACTTGATAAGACTGAAAAAGGAAAGAATATGCAAAATAATTTAAATAACAATCAGAATGAATTTAAGGATGATCTGGACTGTAAACCACATCATTTAGACACAATTTCTAATCATTAAAACTTGGTATAAATTATAACTCTCGTGAAATGACCACTGACTAAATAGTCTAGGATCTTTTATTTGTCACTGCAATTTGTACTTAAACCAACTGAACTTCACTTTATGAATTTCCTTTCTCTATTATTTGCTATACAGACATTTCCTGTTGTAATGGACCAGCATGACAAACTATTTACCAATAACCATTGTAATTTAGATGATTTAAAAGTGTGTAAATCATAAGGTAAAGTAGGTGATGTATCTGCAATTACCAGTATTTATGTTTCACAATGAAAGCGGATGTCAGTGACTTAAAATGTTTCATGTCAAATATGTACAAAATGAGATTGACTGCAAAAATGTACCTGCGTACTGAACCCGAACAATAAAACAAACAAAAAGCAATTGGCATTATGCCTTAATATACCAATATCCATTCCCTTCGTTCCACTTATCCATTTCAAAAATGCGCTACCGTAATATCTTGTCAGTGTATATTATATTTTATTTTCGTGTAGTTTTTGTCGGATAGAAGGTTTGTTAACTACACGATACGTACAACAGACACAACCGCCCATTCAGGAAGACGGGCGTGTGCAGAAAAGTATGCCGACAATGAATACTTTGCCGCCAAAATCAATGACGTAAACTGGCGTTTGTAGTGGTTTAACATGGAGCTGGGGTAGTAACCAACAATATGACCCTGGATTTCCTATCTCATGAAAAAAACAATAGAAATTTACCAACCGGCGGGTAAGTCTATATCTCATTGCATCTTCATCGTTATGTTTGCTTGGCCCTTTTACCTTGTGTCAATTACAAGTTTAGATTATTACAAACACGGTACATTTTAATAGCTACCCTACAGAAATCGCAAAAAGTTGAGAAAATTGTTTCAGTTCACAATCGAATATATTTCAACGGATGAACAGCAAGTTTACATAATATTTTAATCAGTGGGGCGTAAACTAAGGTGAAATTGTTCACGGAGGATTTTTACCTTAACATTATAAAGAGAAGGCGAATATTAATAGTTTCATTTTTTAATTTGTTCGGAATATACCAGATGTATTAGCCTCGGATAAACATATCTCATTTCGAATACACACTCCTGGCCCATAATATACCATCGGCAACATTATCAAGTAACTTAATGATGCATCGAATACCATTACAAACAAGTAAAATGGTTCCCTGCGGTGGAACATTTTAAATATATAAAGATATTTCATTTAACTATTTTCAATATATTTGGGTAGGGGGATAAATAAACGTGTGTATCAAGGAATATAGTTGACAATTAAAAACGATCAATAATAGAAAAGAAGTCTTTGGAAACTGGTGACCGTTAAAGACCTGATAACCGGAGAAGGTCATCAAATTGTTTCTTTTAAGAAAATGATTAAATAGGCCTACCATTTTATTAATTATTCCGAGCAAAAAATAAATAAAGTAGACACAGAAGTTTACGCAGAAAATATCTCTATTTATTATGGCAGATGCCACTAAGATATTTTAATTTTGTAGATTTTTCAGTATAAAACAAATTATTTTGTAAAATTGAGATAGATAAATAAAACATTATAAATTTCAAAACACATCATTCAAGTTTTTTCCACCTTAAACGGTAAATAATTATAGAAAATTAGAAATATCCACACCAATAGTTTTTTTTCTTAATTAGGTGTAATTCGGACTAATATTAACCAATCATGTACGGTTTTAAGGCCTCAACAGACGGTAGGATTTAGTTGTACAGGCACTAATTAGAGATAGATGTACAATTTTTTCAAGCTTTACAACACTTGCATTCAGACGGTAATTCTACACTGTAAGAATCATCTGAGGTTTCCCCTAAAAAGGATCCCTTTACATTGATACTTTACATACTTTACTCACTAAATACTTTTTTCGCCATTAGTAATGATTGAAACACCTCCAGAAGAGTTTTTCAACATCATTTTTACCCCATCTTACTACTATGTTTACCTTTGAGCCCTAATTGTTCTGGAATTTCATTCATTACACCCATTATCAGGAGATAATTTGGTTATCTGTTACTTGTCATTGTTGGAGGTCTATAAAAATCGGTACGACAAGATTTTCAAAATAGAACATGTCCTATCCCTTACATCTAGACATAAGGTTTCCGAAATCAAGAAATAGTAGCCTTCACACATTAAGATTTGTCTGTACATCTAAGTTTTAATTGGTGTTGTACTTTAAAATCCTACCGTCTGTTGAGGCCTTTACAGATCACATGCTCCTCCATGTACCGAAAACAGGTCACGTGCTCCTCCATGCCTCAAAAGTTAAACGCATACCAATACCCTGCGGTCTCCAGACCGCAGGGAATAAGCAGTTTTAAGCGAATATTATAAATAAGTAATCATACGAAGTCATCTTAGAATAATGATATATACACATGTAAATTTTAGTTGCAATAACACTGATATATAATTTTATATTTTGTAGAAAGATGTTTCAGATGTCTTTAATTGGTTGATTCCTGGATCATTTGGTGCAGGTGGAAGCTTAGAATTTTACATCACAACGCCAGATGGTGGCGCTTGGGATGGGTAATGATGAATTTTCTTTTACATAATGCACGTGCTGTGCACACGTAACGGTACTTATACATCCGTTCCCTACACTGTGAATTTTAGTCTTCTCTAACATATGGTTTTGATATACTAGTATCACGTTCCTAGCAAACTCGTGGATTGACCATGATATGGGATTTACCCAGGTCCAGTCTGGTACGATGTTTGGTATAAGAGTATTCAGTTGGTTTTTGGAAAGCCATTGTCGCCGTTCTAAATTACTCATTTTGTATTTATTTATACAGGTTCGAAATCAACTTATTGGATACTACAGATGTTAATTACAACGTGTATGGGGGAGCCTCTGAGACCGTTATGCTACATATGATGGTTGTGAGACAGCATAACGAGCTCGTTTTCAAAACATGGGTAGGTGGCTGGACCAACATATTAAGCATGGCAATTCCGTTTTCTGAAGGAAGTGTTACTAAGTTTACTATAGTACCATATGCAGACGTCTTGCAAGTAAGATATGGTTTTATCGGTAGTAATGTCAATTTCTTTACTTTATCCATGTATTGTTTAAGCTGTAAGCCATGATAAGCTAACTGAGCTTATCAGTTTTATCCAATCAAAATTTGTACAAGCTGGATATCCAAGAGGGTAAATGGTGAAATTCGTGGCTATTAATAAACTAAAACATGTCTAATAAATTACAATCGCTAAGTACTGGATCTCAAGCTATTTTACATAACTACTAAACTAGTCTTTATACCAAAATTTGAATCAAGAAATTCTTACTGTTGCTCTTTATTGCTATATTATAGCCTGTGTTTTCACTTGAGTCAAGGAATTCGAGGATGATACTACCTGCAACCTTTACCGTTAGCTCTTTCATTGTCATAAGCATTGTCCAGAAATTTATTGTGCTGACCCTTAGATTTCTGCAGAAAGCAGATTATGTGCATATTAAATAAACGAACCTTATACCCAAATGAGCATTTAAGAAGATTATTATTGTAATACATGTAGTTATAAAAAAAGTTTAAAATTATAGATTGACTTGAAAACTTGTCTGTATATACTTAATTCTAACGTAAGTTCCAATTACTTATAGATTATTACAGAAGGTAACATTAAGTTTTATTACCCCTTACTTTTTTCGTAATGCTAATTTCCCATAGGCCTCCGGGAGTTATTCTTACTGTTAATGCAACTGTACCACGTGACTACGAATTTTGTACTGTTACATAGGTAACAGAATTTTTTAACAGTATAAAATCTGGTCACGTCGTCTATTTTCTAAATAAAATGAAATAAAATGGCCGCCATTTTTCTCTCGATTCATTCTTATTTTCGACGATAGGGCATCCCCGAAGTAACTATTACTCTGATAAAATTTAGTTCTTTGCAACCTAGAGTCCCTTTCGCGTATTAAATATCTTTTTGTTGAATAGTCAATAGGAAACATCCGTTTACAACGGAAGTAGTTGTAATGTAAATAATTTTTGTGTCAAACTGGAACATGCAGACAATTAAAGCAAGCAACAAAGGATAATTAAACAATTTTAACCAGTGAAACGTTACAGATATAGTTGGTGGACAGACATCTGTAGGATATCATCGTTATTTTCTAAATGCACTTTGTCAAAAACCATGAGAAGAATATTCTGGATGCAGAGGAATCCGATTTCACAGATCATAACCTTATAAATGGGTTAGTGTTTTGTTTTCTAAATAAAACACAGCTGATTTTATGTTTATGACTGGTAGATAACATCACTTAAAAAGAAAAACAGCTTCTCAAGTAGGCCTACGTATACAGTGCACTTAAAACTTGCAAGGTTAGGACAGTTTAGCAGTTTAGTTATTGCTTCTTTTGGCTTATTTTTGTTACAGTTAGATGTAGTTACCAAATTCAGATCATCACAGTATTTGTTCGGGGTAATAAAATAAATAACACATGGGTTTGTCGGTAACAGTAAAAATATCACCCCTCGTATAAATGCTACGCCTCGGGTAACAGTATTTTCCTCGGAATGATATTTTTACTGTTACCCACAAACCCATGTGTTATTTATATAATGTCAAGTATGATATATCCGCGTTGATGACGTATTCGTCTGACAGTGTATAAAGGCTTAACAATTACTTTGATGTGTCGCGTAATGTTTTTGGCAATTAAATGTCCCCCAGTGTGCAACAGTGCAAAGTTTGGGTTGTCTACATCGTCGTTTATATCAATTTTAGTTGAACACATGTTTTCATTTCAACCTACTTGGACCTTAATTACACTGATTAATATTTGCTACTGAAAAAAATATTCATTCGGTTTAACATAACCACAAATAGAGTTTACATATGTAAAAAGTACTCATTTTTTTAAGCATTTCAATCTTTTCTTGCTAGCAAAGTCATGGGTCCAAAGAGAAAAGATCATTGTAAAGGTTTTCTTTACTAAAGATGATGCATTTCTTTGACATCATTTGTATTCGTACTCTTTTTCATTTCACTAGTAAGATGGTAAAGCTGATACCGCAATTTCGCAATTTCAAACGGCCAGAAAATAGGTTTATGACCAAAATAGAATAGGCGTATGACCAAAACAGAGTAGCCTCATGACCAAAACAGAAAAGGCTTATGACCAAAACAGAATAGGCTTCACAGAGGCTTGAAACGCAGCAGTAAATTATAATCAATTGATGGAAGTATACAATTATGCAATAGTTATCGTTTATGTTGTTTCTTTTTCAGGTATTGATTGACGATGAACACTTAGTCCAGTACCCACACACTGTCGATCCTACCACTGCAAAATTGATCAACATCGATCCTTTTTCAAACACCTTAATTAAGCTTCACAATATAACCTTAATAGGTATATAGACCACGATCGACTTATTAAAATTTATCAAAGCTATCCTTTACAAATTCTTACATATTATAAATTTCTATAAAAAAACATAGATAAAATCGTCTTCTATATCTTTTAAATAAGCCTTAACTTTTCTTCCTTTTTGTTGTCTCAAACATGAAAAAAATACATATCTATAAAGTTTTGATGATTTTAGATATTACAGCAATTTAAAACAAACAATTCTATATCATAAATTCAAATAGTATTAATGTTCAAACTGATTATAAAATGCTGAATACAGCTTAAATTTATACACGTTTGAGTTTTTCAAGATAAGAAAAAAAAGACAGACTATTTCTTGCTATATATTTCTTAATTTTTAAAACTCAGGGTATAGGTTTTTCAGTTTATTGTAATAGTTTGCAGTGTTGATTATCAATAAAAAGTAATTATGTTTTGATAGATACTTTTTTATTTCACAGAAATACAAACACAAAAGGCTTTTGTTGTTGTTTATTAAACAATTGTCTGCTTTGAATACAGGATAACAGTAGAAGAAACATGTTTAAATAAAAAGTTATAAGATGTCTCATTATATAAACATATTGATTGCTTAGATGACAGAAATAACATAAATTAAGCCATTTGGTTTTTCTCCGGAAGTTACGACTTTGGCAACAAGTTCACCTGCCAGCGTTCGTAAGCGTCTTGGTAGACTTCCGCTGTTACCTCTGTGTCTGTGTTTTCCCATCCTCTCTTTTCCATTACTAATGTTCGCGGTCCTTGAACATAAGTCAGTTCACAGCCGTCAGGTACGAACCTAAAAATAGCATTTTATAACGTTTTAAAGCAATGTCCAAATATAAATCATGAATATTGTTGATATCTTTTGACACAGACATAATGATATAAGCACATTTCTGGACATACAGGTATATGTTTAATACAACAAGTTCAGTGATATAATGACTATCCTGATGCTTGTGTTGATAATGACTTGCTGACGTCATAGGGCATAGACCAAGACAAATACGCACGTGCGACTTGCTGACGTATAGTGCATACGCGAAGACAAACACGCACATGCGTGTAGTATGACCAGTCTATTTACGAAACACAATTTTACTTTTCGAACCATTTTTAGTAGTAGAAAAAAATAGTTCTTGTCAAGTTATTTTATACCTTTGTATACTGGACATTCTTTGGAAAACGAATCAAAGCAGCCGACCATGGCAATTAAAAGAACAAAATCTAACTGAAGCTTTTGGGGTTTTTTGTTTTTTTTCTTCATAAAATGTTATTTTTAAAATTATGAAAATCATGTGCAAGTATTTTAAAATGATAAACGTTATATATGTGTTTAAATATTCTGCATTTAATGCAATACTTATAATGTTTACTTGGTTGCATAAAAAAGAAAAATTAATTTTGAGTACAGATTTGCTTAACAAAAAATAAAACGAGGTTTATAATTTTGATAAAGATGTTAAAATTTTCATCAAAAGGGCCAGTAGAAATGTTTAATCTGATAACCTGAAAACTGCAATTCGACAATTGTGAAGAAGATACGTACAATGTTGTCATTCTAACATGAGATCCACAGCAGTTAGCTTCTTTGGTGCAGCTTTCACTTTGGTTATATGCCGGAAGTCCAGGTTCACATTTTCACAGCCACACCCTCCACAACAACCACACCATTCAATAGTAAACATTCAGTCATTATGAAGTCAGTAGGAACAAGTGTCATGTAAACTCTCAATGCTAAGTAGCAGCAATAAAAAATTCCTACTGATACAGTTTGCTTGTTTTGTTAGATTTTATTTAAAGCACACTTACACGGTAAAGGCCATAGAGTAACTTTACAGCTTTGGTAAAAGGAGACCTCAGATTTCACAATGAACACAAAATTCAGTACGCTGACTGGTCAGCTTCCTGTCATGGAAAAATGCAACGTAACTCACGGGATTTTCATTAAGGTCAATGAAGGACAAGTGATTAAGTGATTGTATCATTCTATTCTATATTTCATTGATACTTAAAATCATTATTATCTGCGGGGCATTTGTTTTCGTTGTTTTCGTGAGAAGGTCAATTCACGACTTTCAAATCCAACATATATCATTTTGCCAATGCAAGCTACGGTATTTTATCCCACCTAGGATACATAAAACTGCTTTAAAATCACACGAAACCTTAAAGCTTTGCTACTTGCGTCATTCAAATTTTCACTGCCTTCTTTAAAATTAACGCAGATCAGTGCTTACTTAAAGGCAAAAATATCTTTTAACCTGGAAGATCAAACTCTACGGAAGGACAGACAAAGCGGCCACTATATGCTAACCCTTCGGGGAGCATAAAAATGAAATTATTAGACATAGGCTTGCTTATCTTCTACATTATTGTTTTCAGTCAGTATTCCAGAACATCTCGTAGATATCAGCATATAATTAACCAGTACTTTACATATGAAATGAATCATAATAAATGTATATAGAGATCCGTAACTTAAGAATTGTAAAGCTTCTTTTATGCGTTTTGCAACAATATGTCGAGTTTACCAGTTTTATCCCAATAAGTCTACCCTGTTACTTATGAATGCAAGTTTTGACGTGATATCAGTTAAAAAGTTCATATAGCCTAGATCAAATATCAATAACTTAATTCGCTTCAATAGATTTAACTCATTAGAACATTGTTTAATGTATATCATTTTGTATGTTTAGACTTAGTTTGTGTGTTAAAATTAAAGATATATAATGCTCAAATTTGACATTTGGAAGAACTGATAATTTTTGATCTGTAAAATAAATATTTTTTGAATATATACAGAGAAAATATGTTAAGTTTTGAATTGTACACAGACACGTAATCTCAGTATGAAAACCTAGTGTCATTAAAAAAACTTGCAGTTTTTATAAAAATAGACCAGTAATACCCAAATATATTTAATATAATTTTATTCACTAAATGAAATTCAGGAAAGATTCACTAGATTTCAATAAATTTATACAATTAAAGTATCTTACTCCAATATGAACATAGTATTTATTTAAATAAAGCCATTTTCTATAGTAAAACATAGTTATCATTTACTTACATTATTTCCTTTATTACATGATGTATTTTAGGGAACGTCAATGCTTTAACAAACACCAGACACATTACAAGCCCGGAAACCGCTGATACTGATACTGATTTAACCGATATACACATGTAGACATCAGAATAATTAAATTTATGTAAAAACAATGCCTGTGCTTATTTTAGTATAACATAATCTATTTATGCAAACCTTAACTTGTATATTTGGTTTCCAAATGTTTTCCTCTTTTTGTTTTAAACAATTTGCATATGATTCACAGACAATGATATTTATATTTGGCTGCGAATTGAAGCGTCTTGATATATAAATGATGAGTGTTTATCACAGATTCAAATAACATACGCAGATAGTTGAGTTCTTCTGAAAGAAAAGTTATATAGAAGGGTATTCAGTAAAAATTCCATTCATGTTAATTGCTTAACACGAAAACATTGTAAATCACTTATTCTTACATCGTTAAGAGAAATCCATTCATGTAAATGACTTATTCTTGCATGTACATTACATGGCTACTGTGGCAAATTTATATAATAATATTCTTTGTCCTAGTTTCTTATTTCTATGTTCCTTTTACTTATATGTTTGTATGGATTTAGATAATCGATAGTGTAAGATATATCATTTTGTCACACAAATCCTGAAATAAAATTTATTTACGTAAAATGTATTATACATATTTTGTAAGTTTAAATTGTTAATGCTGAAGTTTTAATTTTCACGTAATGTCCTTATTTGCTAATTACTTAATGAGATTTTCTCAAAATACATGTACTTTGCAAATTTTATATTTAGTCTCGTTATTCGAATTTCTATATAGCATCAGTTATAAGTTATATAACATCATTTACAAGCTATAATAGGAATCTTGTCTCGTAAACATTTAAAAGTTAGAAATAAGAATTTAGAAGGGTATCCAGCTACATAGAAATTACAACTTTTTGAAAACAGAGAGCGCTTCAATCGTGACTTATGCACAATGGTTTTCCAAGTGCTATAAATAGCAACTCGACTCTTATCTGGAGGACAACTTCGTCAATTTTGTAGCAAATATGTATAAACATATTATTATATTGAAATACTGACTTGATTATATAAACTATGCTTCTGAACAATTGAATTGTGAGATTAGCACCATGTAGCACCTAATGAGTTAGGAACTATTATATATTTTATGTCTGAATCTGGAGTATTTATCACCCTTAAACCAAAGTTGAAGGGCCTGGTCCGACTTAGGATTCAAAAGATGAAACCATAAGCTAGACACCCAATGTATTTTTGAAAAAAGCATAATGTTTTCTATAATAATTCTTTCACTCATGATAAGTTTTATAGTGCTAAAAATAATGACTTCTCTTTCAACCCAAAGGATAATTATCTGATAGTTTTTGTTCATTAAGATATGATTCATTTCCCTCACCCATTAGGATAAATATAACACCTCTGTCAATCATTAGGATAATATATATTATAATTCTCTCACTGTGTTTTATAGTGCTTTGCTTTCACACATTAGGTAAAATTATGACTTCTCTAACAACCTATAGGATAATATATAATAGTTCTCTCGCGCATTAAGTGTTGTATGGTTAATAATTCTTACCCGGAAATCTCTCTTAACCTTAAAGTCCTCACACTGGTTGTGTATTTTATAGTGCTTTACTCTCGCCCAGAGAGAAAAATAATGACTTCTCTCAAAGTCCTCATGCAGTATATTTATCTGAAAACGTTCACATTTATTAAGTGTTACATAATTGCTCTCACCCATTAGGATGAATTAATATCCTTTGGATAATGTTTAATAGTTCTTTCACCCATAATATGTTTTAAAGTGTTATGCTCTCACCTATTAGGAAAAATAATGACCTCTTTCAACCTATAGACTAATATATACGAGTAATAGCTAGTTCTCTCGCGCATTAAGTGTTGTATGGTTAATTATTCTTACCCGTTAGGATAAATTATGACATCTCTCTTATCCCTAAGGATACTTTATGATAGTCCTCTTACTCACTGTGTGTTTTATAGTGCTTTGGTTTATATAAAATTTATTATAGATCGATTTTTGTAGAGAGCTTATAGGCACACTTTCGAATCTGTTCCTGAAACTAACCAGTACTGAGCAATGAGTGTACCAACCAGTACTGAGCAATGAGTGTTTCCTTGAGTTTTGCTCAAGGAAACAACGACTTGTCCCTGACGGGGTTTAAAGCCATGCAGCTAGCGCGATCATTAGATTACTAGTCCGACCATTCTGCCATGCCGCCACACAACATTATGTGTTTTATTATGCTTTGCTCTCGCCCATTAGGAAAAGAATAACTTCTCTCAACCCTTAGTATAATTATCTGAAAATGTTCGCACTCATTAAGTGTAATATGATTCATTGCTTCACCCATTGGGATAAATTATGACATCTATCTTAACCCTTTGGATAGTTCTCTCACCCACAATGTGTTTTACAGTGCTTTGCTCTCACCCATAAGGACAAAAAATGACCTCTTTCAACCTTCTCTCGTTCATTGAGTGTTGTATGATTCATTCCTCTCACCCATTACGATAAATAATGACATCTCTCTCTCTCAATTATTAGGATACTATATAACAATTAATTCTCTCGCTCATTGTGTGTTTTATAGTGCTTTGCTCTCACCCATTATGCAAAATATGCGAATATTCTCTCTTAACCTTTAGGATAATATAAAGTAGTTCTCTCACTT